AAAAAAAAAAAAAAAAAAAAAAAAAAAAAAAAAAAAAAAGAAATAAACATCTAAACTGTTCCTCTACAGCCTGCACCTTACCCACTCACAGAATGGTGGTCAAAATGTAACCTGGGGGAAATTAGGGCTCCCACATCCTGACCACCATTTTTCTCTGAATAGATAGCCTTACCTTCTGCCACACTAACACTGTCCCTTTTCTGTACATCTGTGGCTCGTCATTGTAGTTGATGTGGAACTGAGAGAACAGAATTTCATTCTTGTCTCCTGCCAGAGTTCCCTGAGGAAACACACAGAGGCGCAAAACTCAGTAGGTCTTTCTCCTACACTCCCACCACCAAAGAGAAGGATTGCTAGATCTTGTGTTAATTAAAATTCAGATCACTCTACTGCTGAGCTACACCCCAGCCCCTGACGTTCTCATCTAAAGTAGATTATTACCAGCCCCTAAGATCCTAATCTAATCTAGATGTCTACATTCATCAAATCCCCTTCTGCTGTAAATCCTAGTTGCATTGTCCAGACTATGTGCAGTTTGCAGGAGCTAACCATAAACAAAAACTCTGTGTCTATAAACTTGGTGTTAATGTTTCTTGTTTGATCGCCATGTCATCTCCATTTCAGGGAAGAAAAAGCGGATGAAGGCTGTCTTTACCCTTCTAAGAGGAAGCAAAATCTGATTTGGGCTCTAACTGGACATGGCTGCTGGCATTCATATTAGTGTTAAGTTTCACTACTGACAGTATTAGTAAGGTCAACTACCTCAGTAATCATAATGTAGAAGACATTATATCAGGACTGTCACAATGCATCACTTCACTGCAGAATCAGTTATCCCACAGGAAGTGGTGTTATCTCAGAAGGCAGGCCAGTGCTTATTCAGCACTTACTTCCCCATGTGTTCAGATGCATCAAAGCATGTTCTTTGTATAAGCCTATGAAGTAAGAACTATTATTCCTAAATTTTACTGAGGCAGAAAGGATACACAGAAGTATGCTTATCTGACTTTCAGAGTATTGACTCTCACTATACTCAGGGGTTCTAAGCCTAAGAAGCAACAGGAGCCCAGGAGGACATGGCATGAGGGAAGACGCTGTGCAGGACAAAGGAGAAGAGTGCATGCACTGTCTAAAGAGGGGAGCCAAGACTTAGCTACAGACAAGTGTAAGCACGCTGGCACTATCATCAAGAGTAAGCACACTGGCACAGCAGCCCAGGAAGAAGTAATAAGCAATGCCTGCTGACAGTAAGCAAGGAGAGCTTCTGCTACTGAGATCTTTCTGGCGTTTCAAAATGGAGCCATACAGGAAGCTAAGGAACCAAAGAGAACATTCCAGAAATGCTATGAGAGACCAGAGCAAATGTCATCAGCTGTGTTTCTGTTATAGGATCTTTATACCTTTAATCGCTCCTGGGCTTGGACTGGTGTTAGCCCAGATTGCTGGATAAGGGCCCAGAAAACTGTGTTATAAAGATTATTGATATGACCTGCAAGGAAAACAAAATAACATTTATATATACTGAATCTTAGTTATATATAAATACCTATTATAGTATATGTACTTTGTTTTATGTATAGACTTTTATGCTTCCAGGAACTCACAACCCAGTTTCTCTCCACTTTTACGTACACAGATCTCAGAGAGAAAAAGTGGCTTGCCCAGTCTGCCTACATAGGGAACAGACAAGGAAAGGGCTAGGTATGTAAAACTTATTCCCTGGTCATTTCAGTAATGCCTTATGCAAATATGTTGACTTAGGTGTTCACTATTTCATTATTTCAATTTGTTTCCAATTTTTCTGGCAAAATTAAAAATGTGCAACTACAAGCTTTATTGTAGTCCTGTAAGACAGGCATTACAACACAAATACCACTCATGCTCTGTAAGTTCACAGAGCAGTAAGTAACTCCAGGGGAATAGCAGGGAATAATAGGTACTGTGCAGCTTATGACTTTGTGTGTGTGTTTCAAAGTAAAAAGTTAGCTGCCACCACACAGGCTTTGCATAAACAGAGTGAAAATACAAGACTGCCTTATCTTCTGATCTTAAAAAGCAAATGGGGTGGGAGAAATGGCTAAATGGATAAGAGTTCTTGCTGTGCAAGCCAGAGAACTTGAATTTGGATCCCAGCACCTGTGTAAGAAGCTGGGCATAGCTATGTGCACCTGGAACCCCAGACCTGTTGGAGACAGGAGGATCTCTGGGATGTGCTAGCTGTCAGACTTACTCCAGGAGTAAAGCAGAAAATAGTGACAGAGCAGGACATCCCACTTCTTCCTCTGGCTCTACAACACTTGTAGAGGCAAGCACACGTAAGTACATGCATGCACACATACATCCATATACAAACATACACTTATACACATGTACACACATGTGCACACAAAAAACTACAGGTAATTTCCCTGTAAAATCACCTAACTTATCAAATATTGTTAAGTATTTAGTATACGAGAGAGAGCTGGGTGTGGGAGTACACACACTATAACTCAGGCCTTTTAGAGTTGTGGCAGGATTTAAAGTCAGCCTGGGCAAGACAGCAAGACTCCTTTGAAAAGAAAAAAACTTTTTTTTTTAAATATTTGACTCCAAACAACATACCAATAAGCCAAACTTGTATCAGACCCACAGCTTTAATGTACAGATTTGGTAGTTTGACTTGAACTGTGTACACTGTGCCACTTACAGTCTGCCTGTCGCCAACTGAGGTAGTCCTTCAAGGTCTGGTTGCTAGGATACAACACAACTCTTCCATCAAATCCTGGGGGATACAGAAGAGGCTGGTCCGCAAAGTAATCCCGCCAATAAAACACATAACTGGAGGCGAACTGGGAGGCCACGAGAGTCATGAACTTACTTGCAAATGAAAGACAGGTTGGGTAGAAGAAGGGAAGAGAAAGTGTTTGATATTAATTCGACACCAAGATAGGACCTGTGGATGCAACAGAGAAATTACACAAACTGTCCAACCAGCCAGAAGACAAAATATATTCAGCTAAGAAAAACTGAAAGTTTTTGCTGTATGTTTTAAATGTAGCCTGCCTCTATCTACTTAAGTTACTTACTATCTTAGTTAGGGTTACTATTACTGCAATGAAACACTATGACCAAAAGCAATTTGGGCAGGAAAGGGTTTATTTGGCTTATACTTCCACATCACTGTTCATCATTGAAGGAAGTCAGGAGAGGAACTTACACAGAGCAGGACCCTCGAGGCAGGGACTGAAGCAAAGGCCATGAAGGAGTACTACTTACTGGCTTGCTCCCCATGGCTTGCTTAGTCTGCTTTCTTATAGAACCCAGGATGACAAGCCCAGGGATGGCACCACCTACATGATCTTGGCCCTCCCCCATCAATCACTGACTAAGAAAATGTCCTACAGGCTTGCCTACAGTTGGGTATTCTGGAGGCATTTCCTTAATTGAGGTTCCTTCTCAGATGACTTTAGCTTGGTTCAAAATGACATAAAACTATCCATCATACTCCAAATTTTCCTCCATAGGATGTAGTATAAGTTTTTGGTTTATGATTTTGTTGTTGTTTTGGCATTGTTTTCAATATTGGAAGAAAGGGAACCAATATTTTAAAAACATACCAATTCATCCTATAATTTGATTCCTCTAAGAGTTTCAATCTACTACCAAGTTAAATATCAACTTTATCTCCTTAATTAAAAATATAAATAATACTTTAATGCATGGAAGGAATGACACTGGCAATGAATCACTAATACTCTATTTTTCTACTCTGTTTACAGTCTAAACATTAAATGAAGGTCAGTCTGGAAGCTGGACTGATGGGATATAGATGGGAAAGAGTCAGATAAAGAAGGCACCTGGAAAAATAGATCAAAGTGCTCGAGGGTCCTGCTCTGTGTAAGTTCCTCTCCTGACTTCCTTCACTGATGAACAGTGATATGGAAGTACAACCCAAATAAACCCTTTCCTCACCAAATTGCTTTTGGTCATAGTGTTTCATTGCAGTAATAGTAACCCTAACTAAGATAGTAAGAGTGCTCAGTCTTCAATGGAAGGAAAAAAAATCAAAGTAGGAAATGTGCATTTTGTAGATGCAACATTCGCCTGAAATCTTTAAGATCTCAGCCATTGTCAAGATAATCAGAAGAGCAGAGAACAGGAGAAAACACCCAATAGGATGCTGGTTTTAAAACTCACCTGGCTCTTCTTTTAAACCAATTGCTTTTCCGCCTGAACACAAAGCTGTACTCATCGCTCTGTCCATATGCAATGACAATGTCCTCCAGCTCCTCCATTACTGTCTGGGCACATTTGGTCATCAGCTGGAGAGCTCGACTGTCATTAGGTTTTGCAAAGCTGTGCTTCTCGGCAAACCTTCAGAGAGGAAAGAGAAGGACACAGATGGTGGAGAGTCTGTCATTACCAACAACACAGAGCAGTTAAGAAGGGACAATGCTACAAGCATGCTACTAGCTATAGCTTAACATAATTCCTTGAGAACTGCAGCACAGAGATGGAGAAATAGCTGTGTTATAAATATGAAGACCAAGTTCTATCCTTTTAAAATAAAAGGGG